AAATGAGAAAAGAAGGGTAAAATGGAAAATAAAAGCTTAGTAAATGAGAGCAAGTGGCACCGAAGAGAGGGGAAGGAAACGGTAAACAAAAGGAATAAAGATCCATCATGTACAGGTACAAGGTTCCTGTGATGGACACTATCATTATGACATCATAAATATAAAACAGTAAAACACTCTGAAGGAAAAAGATAAAGTATGTTTAAATTATACAAATAAACTTCGTAATAAAATAAACTTAAAACTATGATAATTTTATCCTTTTTCTGCCATCACATGAATAATAACTGTAAGTTACGACATTAGTGCTTCATCTCAGAGTGAGTGAGTGGGACACATATCTTGTCCTTTCTTCAGCAAAAGGCTGACAGTTTCGAGGAGGACATGCTTTACTGATGTATCCAGTGATTTTGTTGAGCTGAAATGCTGCTACTGTTGAGTAATGTTCAGTGTAATCATAACTGAGCATAAAATCTATTAAAAACGACTTCAATCATATCGCATTTCAAACATGCACTCTTACATTTATATGTAGAAAAGTTGGAGACCATTAACACGTTCAGATTTGGAATGTTATGAACAAAATAACAGATTTGATTACAGTAGCTCATGTTTACTTAATACCTCAATCATGACACAATTATTTAGAATATATCGCTGTCATTATTATTTTTTCTTGAGATAGAACACTGCAGTGTTTCACACTGACTTTGAACATGTAGCTCTGTCTAGCTTTCAACTCTCACCAATCCTTCTGCCTGAGCCTTGTGAGTATTTGGATTATGGGTGTGTAATCACCACCCTGAGAATATCTGATATGAATTTGTGAAAACAAGAATTTCAGAAAGAATTTCTCGCTAACATTTCCGCAGTTTTTTGCTCCTATGCCAGATTTCTTTCCAATTAGACCTATAACTTAAAGTATATTTGGCATTTTTTTCTACCAATTGCTGAGGTTATACTGATAATTTTGTTCAGCATCTTGCTTTCTCAGGACACTCCCCGAGGAAAGACTCTGGTCTGACATGTTAGAGGTGTCACTTTTGCCTTTCCATTAATAATCTGATGCTATGATCATTCAGTAGATACTTACTATTAATGTTATATTGTCATTTTAAGGAATTTGTGGTAGTTTCTTTCTGTCTGTAATTGGTACCCATAAAATGATGTTTCTGTTAAGCCATTAAAGACATTAAACACATCTATCAGAGCTGTCTTGGAGTACTCACCTGCTCATTCTATAACCAATTTCATTTCAGGATTTAATGATCTCCTGCATGAAGTTCAAATTGCTGCATATTTCAAGGTCTATTATTTTTTTATTTAAAGAGAAAGAAACATAAAAGATGGTAGAAAAGTGTAGAAATAATACAGAATTACAGAAAAATAAACAGTAAGAAATCACTAGTTGATAAGTTACATATTGTCATCTTAGAAATAGTTGTTCAGGTTACAAAATTAAAGCATATAAAATGACATTCAAATAGTGACACTGTCAACAGTTCTGCTCAATGATCCAACAAAAACTTAGTAATACGGTAATCAGTCCTACACAATTATTTTTTTATCTTAAAGAGGGTAAAATTAAAAATATCAAAACAGAACAAAACAGTTCATAAAGAAACAATTAAAGAAATACAGATTTCAGAGCAAGTCCACTGGAGATCTTCACTGTCTATCTCATTGTTTCTGGTTTTCTTCCAAATAGTTGTCCCCATCTTCACACACGTTGAATATATACTGCATATTATAGAACTAATCAAATCATTATAGGATGATGAAGGCTTTTTAGGTCTTCAAGACCTGACATTAGGGAAGTCTATAATGACTACCATAAAACCTCTCAGTCTCTTTATAGTAGCTGTCCTTATCTTTATGTATGCTGAAATTAAACTTAAGAGACTAGACTAATATCACTCTCAACAGTGAATAATAGTATTGCTAGATTTTATATCATAATGTTACAGAGTTAGCATTGGATTTCCTAGTGTCTCTTCTTCAGAGCATCTGTTCATTACATCTTGCGTTAAATAATGTGTTCCTGTAAGTAGTTTAAAAAATTCTTCCCATGTGTGAATTTCTACATGTATATCCATAAGGCCTGTTATTTGTGACTAAATACAGAATGTTATACAAGTATGTTAATGTACGTTTTGCAATTTTTTGTTGTATTTTCCTAAAAAATGTTAAATATAAAAGACCACTACTAGATGTCCTAGATATTGAACCAAAATGCTCCACATGTAGGATTTTAAGAAATCAAACATGCCAAGAAATCTTGGTATGATCAATAAATAGAAGTAAACATGCCATTTCTTGAACTGTAGCTTGAGATTCAACAGACACAAATAAAAACAAAATTAAGAAGAAAGAAACCAAAAGCTAAACCACAGCAATTACTTAAATGAAAAATATGGCTTACTGATGTAGAATGTAATTCTCAATTTTATTTGCAGATAAAATTTTCCATGAGAAGCACTACTGAGTAAAATCATGAGAACATTGGAGAATAAGTAATATTTAATTGATATTTAAAAATTGAGGATTAAGGCTTATTTCCCATGGGCTTTGAGTATGGACCTGGAGAAATAGCCAGACATGCCCTCGCACAATTGCAGCCATTGGGGGAATCCCAAAGTAGCCATGCAGGTCAGGAGAGAAAGAAGGCCCACCCCAGCATGTCCATGGCCATCCGTAGACATGGCCTGTGGTTCTGGAGAAGCCTGCTCCATGTCTCTCTGCCTCCCAGGGAACCTAGGTTTGGAGAAACTCAGGTGTCTGACCCATTCCCCTACACTGCACAGGGGTGGCCAACATGGGAAGTGCCTGGGATCCCACATTCAGACTGTTGCAAGGAACCCAGGAAGATATTAAGATGAAGGAGCAAAAGGCAATCTCAGACTTTCTGCCCACACAGAACAAGTCTGGAAGACATAGACATAGAATAAATTATAAATTACACACCTGACATTTCCGAAAGGATAGCAACTAAAGTAAAGAAACAAATTCGTGAGGCTGTAAAAGATATCAGATCAGAAATAATGTGTGAGGTAAATGAAGAAATCACAAACATAATGAAAGAATTGCTGCACATAATTAAAGAAGACAGAGATAAAAAACAGATGAGTATAGGAAAATGATGGAAATCTTGAAAGAACAATATAGGAAAGAATTATAATGCATGAATCAGAGTCAAAGAGATACACAAGAAACTGAAAACTGCACTGAAAGCTGGCAAAACTTCTCAAAGAGACTGAAAATAGAATTTCAGACCTTGGAGACAAGATTGCAGCTAGCAACTGTGAAAGGAACAGTCTCTTAAAAACAATGAGTAACCAGGGAATAACAATTTAACAGTGCAAGATGGTGCAAAGGAAACTAATTTAAGGCTGAAAGGGATCAGCAAAAAAGCAAGAGGTCAACATAAATTAGAGAGACTATTTACAGAAGTAATAGCAAAAAACTTCGCAAACATGGGAAAAGGACCAGAGAAGTGAGGCATATAGCACTCCAACTAGCCATTACCAAAATAAATCTACACCTAGATATGTAATATTCAAGATCACAGAAATTCAGCACAAGTGGAGAATAGTAAAGGCTATTAGAAAACAAACAGATCACCTATAAAGGAAAATCCATCAGAATTATGACAGATTTCTTGACATAAACCATGAAGTCAATAAGAGCCTGGCGTGAAGAATTTCAAGTTCTGAGAGAAAATTACTTCAAAATCAGATTGTCGCTCTCTGAAAAACTATCTTTCAAACTTAACAGAGAAATTAAATACATTCAAGATGAAGGAGAGTTGAAGGAATTCATGACCACCAAACCAACCCTACAGAGAGGGGTGAAAAATGTTCTAGAGAGAGAAAAGATGACCAAAGTTCTAGCAACATCAGCAGAGTGTGATTGCTGAACAAGGCAGGCAACTGGAAGGAGGCGAAATGTAGGAGAGCAAGGCAGGAGGACAGCAAGGGGGAGAGGAGACAGTGCAAGCCAGTTGTAATCATCACTGTAATGGCTTTAATTCACCAATAAAAGGAAACACAGATGAGTGGATCAAGAAACAAGATCTTTCAATATACTGTATGCAAGAAACACATTTAAAGGAAATTCATAGACTGAAATTAAAAGGAGAGGAAACAATGTTCCACTGACCAAAAGCCAGAAAAAAGCAGGGCTAGGTTGCCCATCAACCACAGAATAGAAACAATGGAAAACTACTCAGCTATAAAGAGAGACGATCTTGAGGCTCTTACAGGTAAATCAATGCAATCTGAGATCATGTTCATGGATGATCAGACTCACAGGGTGAACACTGTGTTGTCTCCCTAGTATAAAAATCTGAAGAACTTCTTGGGGTCCAAAATATATAATACATATTGTGAAAGTGATATGGGAGGAAATGTCTAAAAAGGGAAAGTGATAACCAAAGTTAGTTTCAACCTATTATCTTGTTTTGAACTCTTATATCATTTTCATTGTACTGTTTGGTTTGGTTTCATTGTGTCTTATTTTGTTTGATTTTATTATGTCAGATGGTGTGGGCAGATATGTTGATGATGTTATATTATGGCAGTCATTGTTGATTACTTGTTATATTGTTTGAAGTCCTGCAATGCTTTCATTATTTTGTTTTGATTGGTTTTATTCTGTTTTGTTTTGTTTCATTTTATTACGCCAGATAGTATGGGCAGATATTTTGAATATAATAAGAGGCAATATGGTACCCAGTGTTGTTTTCCTAGTATTTTATTTTGAAGTCCTATATCAATTTCCTTGTACTATTCTTTTTTTTCTGTTTGAATTCATTCCCTTTACAATAAAAAATGAGCATTAACTTAGGTAAATAAAAGACTGACACAATTTCTACACAATTCTGTTACAGTGAATGTTGCTTATGGAGACAAACTCTGTATTCCTCAGAGTTAGGAATCCTGGCAAATGATATGCCTATTTAGTAACTCCTATTTAAGTGGACTAGCATTCTAGAAGAAACACTAAGTACAAACTTTAAACTTCTTCATGAGGATCCTGTGAGAGGCATTTTTTACTTCTTTGTTTCTGAAACTGTAGATCAATGGATTTAGCATGGGGATCACTAAAGTGTAAAACACAGAGGACAGTTTGTCAATATCAGAGGACTGAGCAGACTTGGGCTGCACATACATGAAGAAAATAGTCCCGTAGAAGACCACTACCACAGTCAGGTGAGAAGCACAGGTGGAGAAAGCTTTTTTTCTTCCTTCTGCAGAATGCATTCGAAATATGGCTACAAGGATCATCAGGTAAGATAATAGCACTACCAGGAGGGAGGAGGTCACATTAAAAGCTGCAAATAAGTTGATCATCAGTGCCAAATCTCGACCATTTGAGCACAGCATAAGTGACACAGGAACATCATCGCAGTAGAAATGACTGATGTGAAGGCTACAGAAAGTCGATATAAACGTCTTAATAGTGATCAACAGAGCAACAAAGGTGCTGTAGAGGTAGGGCACACCCACTAGCACATGACAAAGTGTCTGGGACATGATGACGTTGTAGAGCAGAGGGTTGCAGATGGCCACATAGCGGTCATAGGCCATCGCTGATAGGATGAAAAGCTCACTGATAATGAATGTAACAAAGAAGGCCATCTGTGTGGCACAAACAAAATAGGAAATGGTGGTTTTTCCCATTACAAAATTTAGCAGCATTTTAGGATAAATCACAGTGGCATCACCCAGATCCACGTAAGCCAGGTGTCTGATGAAGAAGTACATAGGGGTGTGTAAGCGGGCATCCAGCTTGGTCAGAACAATCATGCCCAGGTTGCCCACCAATGTAAAAACATAGATGACAAGAAAGATCCAAAACAGGGGGAGCTGCAGCTCAGGCAGGCTGGAGACCGCACTCAGAATGAGGTCGGTTGGTACCGTGAGATTTCGTCTGCCCATGAGGTCCTGGTATCTTGATGGGATTTACACTTTCACTGTGAAGGAGAGTGTTTTGAAAATGATTAATTGGCAGGGCAAAGTGATTTATCTCAGTGGCATAAGTGCTGCCTGGCAAGTGTGAGGTCATGAGTTTAATCCTTGGTACAAAAAAATTAATTGCAGTGTGTCCTTTACTTGTCAATGTTTGTTTTGATTTAAACATACTCTGTGTTTCTTGATCATGTTTTGTTATACTATTGTAGTCTGACAATTCTAGCAGAGTATTAGTACTCTTAAAGTTATGTGGAATTCATCAGTGAATTCACAAAGCAAGATAAGCTTGTCAAACTTTCACAATAAGGCCCATGACCTTCACTCAGTTACACTCACTTTTTCCTTGCATTCTGTGTTCTGCTCCTCCATGCTTTAATTGAAATTATGCTGGATTAATATCTAGATTCATCTCAGCGTCCATGTAACAGAGAACTGAGGTAATGATATTCCATTTGGGGATTAGTATGCATATTTTAATGTTCACAATTAAAGGAATTTATCATTGATAAATACTGCCTGCCATGTAAGTAAAGCTGTCCATCACTGTATATAGATATATCATTTTCGTTCAAAATTAATTGACTCATACATTTTATATTTGTGACTATTTAGGTTGAAATTCTTAAATTATTTTTATTTCCCAGCAAACATTTGTATTACTTGATCAGCTTGTAGTGATAATTTTACTTTGTGTTAGTGAAACAGAAACCACAATACATTAGACTTGACGACATACAAGATGTGGATCTAATCTTGTTCATAGAGGTGGAGTTTTTTCAACAGAAATGAATTTGAGGATTTAATTGTAAATGCTCTATATCATTAAATAACAGCAGTATGTGGCAATTTTTAAATGCATTGAAATATTCACTTGACCATTTTTTAATGGGAACAGAGTACGGCACTGTGAGACTCATAATTTAGTGAAAAGCGGTGGTTTTCATTGCACGGAAGTAAGAAGACCCTAAATCAGCGCCCGATTAAAGTTACTGATCTCTTTTTAGCCTAAACACTTGCATTCTGCTCCTGTCAAAATCAGAATCAGCTCCTGAATACCTGGAGCCGTGTGATTTCCACCTGGAGAGGGAACGGATAGCAAATCGCTCTGTTACTGGAATGCAGAAGAGAACTGTCGTTCACCGGGACACTGCCGTCTGCCTGAACCGACACCAGGGATCCATTTCTCAGAGCCCAGCACGGAGGTAGCAAGCACATTCAGGGAAAATGCGGTTGGCGGGAGCTCGGGAACTGGCTCAGGTAGTCAGGGCCGCTGCGTGTCTGAGTCAGGAAGGCAGGGCGCAGGTGACCCTGGAGCTCGCTGGACAGGCTTTCTCTCTCCTCCCTCGCCCAGTGCTCTAAGGGTGCTTTGTCTGAGACTTCTGTCAGATCTCTTTTTTACACTCATAGTTTATTTCCTTTTGAAAACTCAATTTTGAATTTGCAGATTTATGGGCTTTGCCATCTTACAGTTTTATTGTAGAATAGAAGCTGCATTTGATTGACCAAAATGATCCAGAAATTCAGGACCCTGATGCTGGCAAAGTATTTAAGGTTTCCCAAGAACTTTAAAGTTTTTTTTTTTTTTTTTTTTTTTTAAAGTCTGACTCATTTCAATCAATTTCAGGCCTTCTGAGGTTATATAAATTCCTTCACCTTTCCAGTTTGTATATATGAAAAAGAGTCTTCACTCTTCAGTGGTGTCTAATTGTACACATTTAAAATATTTCCACTTGGGGCTCTCCACTAGGGCAGGCTGATTACAAAAATTGTGCAGACGGCCTGATCTTTCAATCTTTATGTGCTCTCATTTCAGTGAGCCGTTATTTGGGCTTCATGACTTTCTTCATACCTTCAAAACTCTTAAAAACACCCCACCTTTTTGTACATTGAATGTTTACCTATTATAACATGTACTGCCAGAATTAAACAAAAGTTAGGGAAAGCCATAAAAACTACAAGATCTGTACATTGATGCCTATGACATACTTCAATAAAAATTATTTTCATTTTCTGAAATTTCACCATGAAAATCTTACTTTAATTTTTATAAAAATATTAATTATTATATATCTTTATTAAAACATTATTTCATTGATAATATATTTCATGAAATATAGTTTGTGCCATATCTTAGATCAAATTAACTCACCTTGTATTTTATCTGGAAATCCTATTCTCAATAGAATTTTCCTGATGAAAGCAGAGATTTCACTTTATATATTTTCTAATGTCTATTTCTTGTGTTATCTGTAGGCCACATTAAGCATTGACAAATCAGACGGGTGCAGGATACATGTTCATTTCCTTGATTTTTAGGCATGAAATAAAATATTCATCCAAGGACCGGTAGTTCATGCCAGAGATACTGAATCCCGCAGCACATTTAAAGGAACAAGGTGTCACTGACCATGGTGTGTACCGTCAGCATCCAAAGGTAAGGAAGACTTACCACATCCAGGTGGGCATCACAAGTCCTGGCAATTCTTACTCACCTGGAAAACAGAATCAGATTTCCTTCTCTGGAATCACTCTGACATTGTGTATGCATAAGAATTTAAGGCTCCCCACCCTGTGTGTGATATTCCCTGAGGAAAGAGCACTTAATCCATTCAGCTCATTATATATTAATCATCTGAGAGATTCAAACGATGTTTTGATGATACCCCTGTGTGCTCCCCTGTGAGAAGATGTCAGAGAGACCCAAGGTGAAAACAATGTAAGTTACTGAAACAGTTTCTTGGAGAGTTCAGAGACTTTGAGGCCCTGGTTTACCACATCCATGGAGTCAAACAGCACTGGGAGAAGCTTTCTCATCCTTCTCCCCTGTCACTGGAGCTGATCCAACATCACCACGGAGTGTTAAATGACACCATTATTACTAAATACTAGAATATTTCCTCTCTCTTTAATCCAAAATAGGCACTAAGTTAAAAATATGTAGTTTAGCATTTAAATATGAGATAGAGCTTAAGAAGTCATCTAAATGGTAACTGGAAGATATGAAATTACAAGTTGATCTCTTAACATGGGAGAGACCCGTGTTCTCTGTCAACAAAAGCTTGACCAGCATGATGAGGCAGAGATTTATTATGAGTCTGCCCAGCAGTGTATTTCCTGCGATGTGAATCCACTACTGTTGGATACTGTTCAGTGTGATCACATGGAGAGCACCATCTATTGAACACAGTGTCACTTGTCTCCACGTTTCACACCTGCCTTCTTCCACTTTGGTTTCCATTTGCAGAGCAATGGGGACCATTTATACATGAAACTTAGAATTTTACTTAGCAAAATGTTCAGTTTTTTTTTTTTAAGAAAAGAATTTCACGTTTACCTAGTAGCTAAATTATGATGTAGAGTTTGTTTCAGTACCAGTCCAGGTCATGGTTTTTACCTCACATACCATAGGTCTTTGTCTTCATGAAATTTTCCAGATTTTACCTCAAGCACTATCCCATTATCATCATGCCACTGTTGCTCTGAATTCTGGTCCTACATTATGTTCTCTGGTTTGAATTTCATGTCTGTGAAATCAAACACTGTGTACTCTTGATTCTGTTTCATTCATTTGGCATATTTGTTTTGAATTTTATCTCCAATGTGTCTGTGATTTTGTTGGTTACACCATTGCATAAGTATTTGCAAATTCTTAGTTTTCTTCTAAGGAGACATCCTTGAGTTTTGGTTTATTGTGATATACCTAGTATAAGCACTTTAAGTATATTTGTTGACAAACTGATTAATTACACTTTCTTCTATAAGATGTTTTGGAATTTCTGGAAGATACAGTAAATATATATTTCAATTTAGAAGAAACTGATAACTCCAAACTCATTGTGGAATTTTATATTAATACCAGCTATTTTGAAGTCACACTTTCCACATCATCGTCAATATGCTATGAAGCAAAGAATAATTAGTATTAAATTTGCAAATGAGAATTCACAGGGAATATTATCTCACTGTTCTTTCAGCCTTTATTTCCCTGATGGACAAGGGTGATGAGCACTTTTCCATAGTATCGTTTATCATTCATCACCAAGTATCGTGCTTTGCTTAACAGTGTTTATAGTTATGCCCACTTTTGTTTCATCAGATTAATGTTTGGATTTTTATGTATAATTTAGCTAAATTAAAGTGAATAAAAGGGCCAGGATTTTAGCTGGGGCCCGGGATTTAGCTCAGGGGCACAAATGCCTGCCTGGCAAATCAAAGGTAGTGAGTTCAATCCCCAGTGCAAAAACAACAACAACAACAACAACAACAACAACAAAACAAAACAAAAACAAAACTACTCTTCAGATATTTTAAAAAATAATTTTACATTATTAATTTTTATTTTTAGGTTTTTGACACAAGGTCCTGAAGTGTTGTTTCTACTATAGTGGGCATAAAATGTCCCCCTGCTCCAGAGCATCACACACACAATACGTCTTTTAAAGGGAATAGTTTTCTTATTACCTGTCTGGTGGAGACTCAGTGAGTACCACAAACTATGAGTGTGCAACTAATTGTTTGCCTGGAAAGAGAAGTATGTTACAGCATGGGGAACAGCTCCAAACTCTGGCTGGGGATCTAAGAAATAGCAAACCTTCAAAACAGTATGGAAAAAGCGCTAGTTAAATTGTGTACAAATTTCAACGTGCTGCAGAGCAGTTGAATATCGAGGAGCTGATGTGAAGTTTGGATGTGTAGGATGAATGGGAAGGACCAGGCGGAAAGCAAATAAAGTCACTATGTAAGGTCAGGTGCCCACACCCTCCAGACTGAGAAAGGAGGAGAGCAGAGAATTAGTTTCTATTCTTACTTCAAGTGTTGCTGTAGTTTTCATAAAAATTCCAATGTTAAGAAATTTTGAGGTATATTTTGGGCATGGTGTGTTATGAAATGGACATGTCTGAGTTTTCTGAATATCTCTGAGTGCTGATTCAGTTTACTCTTTTAATGAGAAAATAAACATGTTTTTA